TTTTTTTTTTTTTTCTTCGACCTGTCATCAATACCTGCGCTTCTTGCAACGTGTTCTCTGATAACATTACCTCTCTGATATTTACCACCTTCGTTACTCTCGAGAGTATATATCCATTCACATTTGTATCCACTTCAAAAAAGTATTATTAATAACTCTATTTCAAAATTTTACATTATCTTGAACAATTTGATTTCGATGAAAATTCTTCGGTACTCAGAGAAATTTACTTTTCTCGACGAATAAAATTTTCTCGAGTTTCGTGAAATCAAATTTTTATCATTTTTCGTGTTTTTTCTGCAATCACATTAATACAATTTAAATTGGAAATTTAAGTGGCATTAAAAATATCGAATATTTAATAGTTTAATCTATCTTGTAGTCTTGTTATGAAATTATATTGTATATATAAGATGAATTTTAAGGGTTGATTTTACTCCTTCGAAATAATATTCCAAGAAAAGGAAATATCTCGTATAAAATAGAATTATTATTTATTTTGATAATTTAATTGAATTCGCATAAAGTGTATGAAAATTTTTGCGACTGTGAATCTTACATTACTCACTACTGAAAAGGAAATTCGTCTTTTCAATTTCATATTTGCGTTCGTTGAAGTATAAAAAAAAAAAGAAAAAAGGAAAAAGAGATTTGAATCTCGCGTAGTTTATATAAAAATTATTAATCGTGTTTCAAAAAAAACGTAAAAAATACAATTAAAAACACGATGAAATATTATAACTCGGATTAAAATCGATTGAAATAGCAATATATTTAACTCTTCGTCAAGAAAAAATTTCACGAACAATTAGAGATAATTGAATTTTTTCTCTTCGAGAATGAAAAATTATCAGAAAAAGCCGATATCATCTAACTGCGATCTGCTTTTCTACAAAGTATCACACATCGACGTTGCTACTGGATTCGTGGATGAGAAAAAAAATAGGCCGGCATTTTTACATACATCACGTTTAAAGAAGCTCGTTCTTCGTCCAAACAAAAGATTCCACCTGACTTGTCTGAATCATCCTTCTCTTCCGAACATCTCAAAACAATATCCAATGTATAGATTTTTCAATCATGAATAAAAGTATATGTTCGAATAAAATCAGATACAAAGTCTACAAATTTTTAAAAAATTAAATCAATAATCTATGAGATTATTTTATTTTTCTTTATAAAGATCTAAGAAGATTTACTCTCTCTTTCTCTCTTGAATCGTGAATGTCCTGCTGCCAAATTATTATACATCGACACAATTAAATTAACCAAGCGAAAAAATCGAACAATCGTTGACGAGTTCTTTTTTCCTCTCCCTTTCTCAACGATTTATATCAGAAACGCTTATAGATTGCATGCCCTGTTCACGATGGGCTAACACGCGAATACAGTCATCGACCCCCTTTGGCACGGCCACGTTATACAATACTGCGAAACTGACCCAAGTTAACGTTTCATTCAACACGTACCCATACATCAAAAGTCGCGGAAAAGTGGATGAAACGATTTGCACGAAATCGCCACCTATGGTAATTCTCCCCAGTTCTCGATCTTATCGATTTATCTACGTTTATCGCGCTATAGCACGCGTTCGTGCGTACAACCATCCAAATTGATAAAAGAAATAACGTTCTCGAGAGAAATTTATATTGCGTGTCGCAATTACCGTTCAACGACCACTCTCCTTCCACCGAAGCCATTTAAGTAAAATTAAAGTTCCGAGTATATCGGGAGAATTGCCTGTATCACGTTGGAAGGGGTGAGTAAATCCTCCTTGCCAACACACGTTCCAAAGGAACAATGAATTTCCTTTTCAAAAGCGGACGATATATATCTTTTCGCGAAATCTATTGAGAAAAATCTCTACACGACGTGTAATACGTCGTATCACTTTTATAAAATAAGCTCGAGATGAAGTTGGAAAGAGTTTAATAACAGTTTTTTTCGGCTCTTTTTTTCTCTTTCGAAATATAAAGGGCAAAGAAATGAATGAGTCGTTTTTTCATTGCCATCTTAAACGAGAAAGAGAGAGAAAAAAGGAAAAAAAAGGTAAAGTATTCTGAATCTCACTTGTGTCACAATGAGAAACTCGTTGAAACGGACGAAACGTTTTCAAAGGCGTCGAGAAATCTTTAAAGCATCTCTTAAATGGAGTTCATCGAGGATTCCGTGTATATCGTCTTGAAGAGCGGCGAGGATTTAACGTTCGCAATATAATCTTTTTAAAAAGATTTCCCTCGAAATTCCACGATATCAATCCGATTACAATGACCTCTAGTTACAAAAACCAAAAGGGAGTGAAAATTTTAAATAATTTCTCGTTAGAAAATTTAACACGACACACAGAAATCCACGATCTTTCCTCCACGGGGGGAGAAAGTTAACTATAAGAAATAACGAAAAGATAATTAACATATATATATATATATATACAAGAAAACGTGGCAAACGTGAATCCCAATAAGCAGGCCAATTAAGATATAATGATCGAAGAACGTGGTGCGGGAAAAGCGTGTTTGATCCTCGGTTGAAATCTTGACCCTGTTTCACAGGCCGCGGTATATACGCGCGGTATTCGGAAATGATCAACGCGCGTGCGTATGCACGCTGTGTGTGCGCGTGCAGCACACAGTTTCGCGTCACTTCGCGTATTTATCGAGCATACATTTGTGTTTGCGCATGGCGGGGGGAGGTGTGGGTGTGTAGGTGTATACCTTCAACGGTTTACCACATGTTGCGCTTAGGTGCGTGGAGCGCAAGTCCGCCACCAGGAGCCCGGGCCATCAGGATAGAGAGAATTTCTCCCCTCGGCTCGGTCAGTTACGCGAGTACCAGCAAACGTTCCGCGTGTATTCCCGTTCGTGTGCAACGGGGGGAGATTATGTCGCGATAAAAGAAACACCTCTCGAAAGATCTCTCGTGTCGCGAGTATAATACGCATATTCTCGAACGTGAATTCGAGTGAGAATAAACTGAGAGAGTGAGAATTATCGAGAAGGAAACGAGGATACGAGAGAATAGGTGCAGTGTTCCCGATGCGATGCCTAATATGTCCTACCATTAGGTAGAACTTTTTTTTCCTCGATAAGGTCGGTATCTCGATGATTGGGACGATTGATCATTTTTTAATATGATGATAATAATAATATGTTGCGTGCGAGGAGGCTTGTTCCTCGTGGAAATTCTTCCGGTCCTTATTTCTCTCCTTTTTACTTTCTATTCATTATACACGCGAATTTAAAATGCGAGTTCAAATGATTTTCGTGAGGGTTTCCTTTCTCTAAAAAGGGTTAAGTGGTAAAGCATTATAATGGGATACGTTGTAGGACTAAGAGGAGATTGAATGAAAAATCTTTTGTAAGAATTCTATTTTTAAAATGTGTAAGATCTGTTGAAACTTGTTGCAGTTAACTTTTTAAGCGATTAAAGAAAAGTGATTTTGTAAATGGTGATGCTCTTCGTACAAGAGAGGATAAGCACGTAATGAATGTATCCTATATCTGTTATGTCCTCTCTTCACACCTGTTACATCGCTCGAATCACTGTACCAGCGATATGGATATTATTTCATAAATAAACGAAGGAAATGCATGGAATAAAGAAATCATTGTACAAATGCAAATGTTGCGAATGAATAAAAAAGAAGGAAGAGTTTTCTCAAAGACTTTAGCAAAAAGAAGGAAATGAAATTAATCTTTTAACGTGTCATAGAGAATTGTATTAATTGCATTTGTTGGGGAATCAAAATGTTTCAATTATTGAATAATAACGAAATATGCAGGAAAGAATGATAAATATTAATTTATCATTTTCTGTCGAGCATTTTACGTATGCACATAAATACCTTTATAAAATATCCTCCTTTCTCTTTAATTTTTCTTTTAGAAAATCGTAATATATCGATCGATATATTTATAATCAATTAGCCTTCGAAATTAAAAAAATCTTTCCACATTTTTATTTATTCGTTTGATCAAATCGTTGATCCTTCCAAAAAATAATCGAAGCTTAAATTATTCTGTATAATTAAATTCAAGCTTAATATTCCAAATTAAAATGGTATTTAACGATTT